CATGTGGTAGCTAAACCCGTCCCAAACTCCAGTTCTAGGGGAATCTGTTGCACCCTTCTAGTCTCCGCAGGCATTGCATGACATAGGTGCACTTACGTACATGCAGGCAATGCACTCATACACAGAAAATAAAAATGAATATAAAATAAAGTAGCCGATAATGAAGAAGGAGCTCTCTTGGTCTGATCATCTTTTAAAGTTGGGACCTATTCCAGCTTTCTTTTCCAGACGTGCCTGGAACTCATGATGATATTTGAACATATGATTCTTCTGCCGCCTCAGCCTCCCAAAGGCTGGGATTACAGACATATTCCATCACTTCCAGCTTAGGCCCCACTCCTAATACATTAATAACATCTGAATTTTGAAGGGAATATGTTCAAACCGCTGCAATTGTTGCATTGATTAGAATGTATGAGTCCTTGATTGCTACATGTTTTCTAAGATTAATGATGAAAATAATATAGGAGGAAATAATGATGTACGTGTCAGGCTATGATGACACATGACTAGCTTTTCCAGTTCAGGTGGAATTCATCAGAAAGCCTAAAAGAAATCCTCAAATCATTGAAAGAATAAATTGATTCAAAACGTTTAAACTTTAATGGATAGCACGAACAAACCTTTGACTTTAAAAAAACACAAATTTCCAACTTCTTGTGATAGAGATTACATCTCTGACTTGTCAATGACAATTAGGGGGAGAAAAACAACTTTTAGTACATGATTGTCCAAAGAAGGTGAAACAGGGTGCACAGGTTTGCTGTAGCATGTACAGAAAGATCAAATGTCACAGACCCTGAGCATTCTAAGTGTTGAGGAAAACATACAAGTATGATTCATCCTTTGCTGTAAAATTGAACCAGTACAATCCCTGAAGGGCAGCAGAGTTTAGAAGGAAGAGATGTCGGCTCAGAGAGTCAAGACCTAGGAGCTGCAGTGGGAGTGGCAGTGACCATGGCAATAGTGTCTGCTGACCTCAGCTAAAGTGGCAAACTGAGGAGAAGCTCAGCAGATGGCAGACACGAGGGTGCTTCATATTGAAAGAGCAGAAACATGTGATGATACACAGCTGATTCGAGAGTTGATTTTGCTTGGTTATTTATGAGGCATCCTCTGGTATATTACAGAGGGTAGCCTGTTGCAGCCATGTGTGTTTAATGGCTTGCATGATAGGCATCTGTATTTTGTTCACAAGAGATCAGTGGATCATTGCTGCTCTGTGTAATAAATCAGAA